TGTTCAGTATGATACATTTTCAGAAAGTGACCACACCTGTGTAACTAGCACCCAGGTCCAGAAACACTAGCAGCTTCCCAGAAGCCGTCCTGCTTCCTGTTCCAATCACTGTCCCTCTCTCTCCCAAAGGAACCACCCTTGACCTCTAATGCCACGGACTAGTTTTGCCTGTTTTTAACTTTAAGCAGATGAAGTCATACAGCATGTTCTCTTTTGGGTCTGACATCTTTGATTCACTATTACGTTTGAGAGATTTTCCCACGTTGTTGTGGACCTCAGTAGTTTATTCATCCTCGTTGCTGTAGTATCCACTGGATGAATACACGGTTGAATTGTCCATTCTCCTTTCATGGACACTTGGGTTGTTTCCAGTTTCAGGAACCAGTGAACTTCCTACTTCATGTCTTTTTCTTCATCTATACGAGCGTACTTCAAAAAGTTCATGGAAATATGGATTTAAAAGGGAACACAAATCCTTCTGTGAACTTTCTGAGGCACACTCATGTAAGCATCTCTATAGGGTATCTAATTATGGGGTTATAGGGTGTGCAAATGTTCCGATTTGGTAGATGCAACTAAACGGTTTTGTAAAGTGGTTGTCAATTTACATTCCCAGAAGCACGTGGTTGTACCTGAGCATTTTTGTTTTGTTTTGATTTGTTTCTTCTGGACCTCAGTACAGAATGGATTAATCATCATCCTTGGTTTATGATGCACTCTGGTCCATACAAAGCCCACTTTTGTGTTTAGTGAGTTGGGTAGTTTGTTTGTTTTTTTTCAATTTTTTAATTGTAGTAATATACGCATAACATGAAATGTACCATCTTAACCATTTTTAAATGTACAGTTCAGCGGTATTAAATACAAATACATTCATACTGTTGTGCAGCCATCACCATTATCCATCTCCATAACTCTTTTCATCTTGCAAAACTGAAANATGATGCACTCTGGTCCATACAAAGCCCACTTTTGTGTTTAGTGAGTTGGGTAGTTTGTTTTTTTTTTCAATTTTTTAATTGTGGTAATATACACATAACATGAAATGTACCATCTTAACCATTTTTAAATGTACAGTTCAGCGGTATTAAATACAAATACATTCATGCTGTTGTGCAGCCATCACCATTATCCATCTCCATAACTCTTTTCATCTTGCAAAACTGAAACTCGACACTCAATAAACAATAACTCCTCGTTCCTCCCTTCTCCCAGCCTCTGGTAATCACCATTCTACTGTCTGTCTCTATGATTTTAACTAATCTAGGTACCTCATATGAGTGGAATAATACAGTCTTTTTCTGTGACTGGCTTACTTCACTTAGCATAATGTCCTCAAGTTTCATCCATGTTATAGCATGTGTTAGAATTTCATTCTTTTTTAAGGCTGAATAATATTCCATTGTCTGTATATACCGTGTATTGCTTATCCATTTGTCCAACAGCGGACATGCGGGTTGCTTCCACATTTTAGCTACTGTGAATAATGCTGCTTTGATCACAGATATACCACTATCTCTTTGAGATTCTGCTTTCAATTATTTGGGATGTAAACCCAGAAGTAAAATTGCTCGATCAAATGATAGTTCCAAGTTTAATTATCTGAGGAATCACTACTGTTTTCCACAACAGCTAAACCATTGTACTTTCCCAGCAACAGTGCACAAGAGTTCCACTTGCTCCATATCTTTCTCAACACTTGTTATTTTCTGTGTTTTTGTTTTTGTTTTTTTAATAGTAGCCATTCTAATGGATATAAGGTGGTATCTCATTGTGGTTTTTTATTTGCATTTCCCTAATGATTCGTGATGTTAAGCATCTTTTCATGTGCTTCTTGGCCATTTGGAGAGATATCTATTTACAATACCCTTTATAGAAATTGTGTTTCCCTCTGTTGTCGTGTTTCTTCAGTATCCTTTAATCTGAAGTGGTTCTTCAGTCTTTTTTTGTGTTACATGACCTTGACCTATATGAATATTACAGGCCAGTTATTTTGTAGAATATCCCTCAAATTGGATATGTCTTCTTCATGATTGGATTCAGATTATGCACTTTAGGCAGGAATATTATTGACACACTCTTGTAACTTTCTCAGTATTTCATATCAGGAGGCCCATGGTCTCAATTTGTCCCATAGTCATTACTATTAACTTTGATCGTTTACTGAAGGTGACATCTGTCAGGTGTTCTGCACTGTGAAATTACTTTTTTTCCCTTAGTAACAAATAAAATAAATTTTTTTTAGCTCTACTAGTTTGAGTGAGTTTCTGCCCCTTGCAAATCATTCATTTTTGTAACAGTTAACTAAAGACCCCATATAAACTGGCTGAAGAGGAAGAGGAATTTACAATTGCAACTAACTGAAGACACCATTTATTTATTTATTTATTTTTTTTTTTTGTCTTTTGTCTTTTTCCGTGTCCGGCAATGGATCGCAACCCTCAGT